ATCTAGAGTAAGGGAAGATAAGAGGTAGAATGGAGGAAGCAAGAGATTTCAAGATTTACCAGAGGTACAGGGAACTGTGTGCTTGTAATGAGTGCATATGGGGAGTACTGATCAATAAATTTGGATGGATCAAAAGTCTGTCATACAGAGGGAAGTAAGAAAGAGAAAAACAAATGTCATATATTAATGCATATATGTGGAATCTAGAAAAACGTATAGATGAACCTATTTTCAGGGCAGGAATAGAGACAGAGATACAGAGAATGGGCATGTGGACATGAGGGGAAGGGAGAGTGGGAAGAATTGGGAGACTAGGATTGGCATATATACACCACCATGTGTAAAATAGATAGCTAGTGAGAACCTTCTGTAAAACACAGGAAGCTCACTTAGTGCTCTGTGATGACCCAGAGGAGTGGGATGGGGGTGGGAGGTGGGGGGTGGAAGTGAGGTCCCACAGGGAGAGGATATATGTATACATATGGCTGATTCACTTCTTTGTACAGCAAACACTAATACAACATTGTAGAGCAATTATACTCCAATAAGAAAAAAATTGGAAGACAGATCATACGCAAATTGGGGAGTTGTATATTATAAGGAGGCAGGGTGGGGAGGGGAAGGATATTAAGTACATTAATCATTACCTCCTTCTCTTTTGTTTTCCTCTTCCTCTTTCTTCTTCTGGCTTTAACTTTTGTATCTGAATGTCCCTAGATCTCCAAACTTCTGAAGTAATTCTTTGCTTTGAATACCCGTATACAGGTATGCGACCTACTCCAGTATCCTTGCCTGGAGAATCCCAAGGACAGAGAAGCCTGGCAGGCCACATTCCATGGGGTCACAGAGAGTCGGACACGACTGAAGTTACTTAGCACAGCACAACACATACACTCACTGCTTCCTAAAAACTAGGACAGGTTAAGTTATGCTAACAGTAATGAACAACCCCCGAATCTCAATGACATAAAACAATAAAGGTTTATATTTCACTCATGCTACTTAACATCAGGGACTTCCCTGGTGGCTCCGTGGTAAAGAACCTGCCTGCCAAAGCAGGAGACGTGGGGTTCAGTCCTGAGTCGGGAAGATCCCCTGGAGAAGGAAATGACAACACACTCCAGTATTCTCGGCCAGGAAATCCCAAGGACAGAGAAGCCTGACGGGCTACAGTCCATGAGCTCACAAAGAGTTGAACACAACATGTGACTTAGCAACTGAACACACACATAACATCAGACTCAATCAGGGATCCACGTGATAGAGCAGCCTCTATCTCAAACATTTCCCTCCATGCCGGAGGGAAAGACAGCTCTAGAGAATCAGCAATCAAATGATCATCTCTGAGATAACACATCAAGTCTCTGCTCACATCTCACCAGCCACGAATAGTCACATCATCTCACCAAACCATAGAGTACATGCTACCAAAGTACTGCTGGAAGCTGAAGAACAAGAAATACTTGGCAGGTATTACTAATTACTGTCACACCATATGCCTACAGGATGTCAGTTTCAGATCTCTTTCTGACATCTGTTTTCCCATAAACTTAAAAAAAACATTGTTCTGTTCAGTGTTATATTCAGTTTCTAAAAAGCTTTTTGATATAAAATAGTTAAATGTTTCACTTTTCCATGTATTTCCCATTGTTCTACATAGACTCTATTCAATTCACTGGTACTGTTGAAGTTTGCAGCATTCCACCTGAAGATTAAGTATTTATTGAATAAATGAGTTTAAGAAGCCACAAGTTTCTTAAACCTTGCTCTATGCCATGCATTAGAATTTCTCTCCAATTGTTTTAAATTGTACACTAGGGAAGTGAGTTTTATTTCTTTGATTGCCTTTATTCACATCATGGTCCATATGAAGCTCTTGGGGTGGGTGGAGAATTCCTATACTATAATTTCATGGCCTTACTGGCAATGTTTTTAATTATGTCCTCTAAGGACATATTTTGTAATTCACTGAGCTCCACCCTTTTCTTCTCTTATCATCTTCTCTTACTCTTTCCTTCACTTCCCAAGATTACAAAATACATGATATAATCAACAAATTATATAATTTATGCTTTAGTTTTAATACTATATGCCAAACAATTATGTTTCCCCACAACGTCTAGCTATTCAAATGTATTCTTTTTAGATTATTATAATTAGACATGTGATTTCTTAGAATGTGTTTCTTTTTCCTCTCTTCTTCTCTCTACCACTTGATCCACATCCACCTGACACTTCATAGCTTTTCCCTGTTAGCTGAGGTTGAATATATCGAAAAGATTTTAAATGTCTCCTCTCTTCCTCTGACATTTGAAATTCTATCTTTAGAGTCTCTTTTTTTTTAAGTTTGTGGAATAGTGACATCACCATACCTCTGTGCCACTTCAGGCAATCTTAAAGCTTGTTCAGTGCACTCTTAGCCCAAATCAAGTATGACAATCTCCCCACCTTGTTTTTAGGTGTCTAGAAGGGATTGGGCTTATGAGCACTGAAACGCTGTGGGAAAGCGGTTAAAAGGGGAGCTGCCTCTGTCAAAAAAAAAAAAGAGAGAGAAAAGGTCCTACTGGGCTTTCAGTGACTGGCAAGTACAATCAAGAGATGGAAGGAGTAGGGGAGGTATGGTGACATTTATCTCTAAAGGCTGAACACTGGACTAGCAAAGTCTTCTAGCCTTTGAAAGGAACTTTCATCAGTGTATCTTCTCTCAAATTCTCAAATACATCATGCGTAGTGTGTACTGGGGTGGGGGGAAGGGGTGGGCAGGGAAGGTTTGTTTTCTTGGGCAACTTTCAAGCTAAGTTCACAAACAAAACTCCTTCTCTCCTCTACCCTTCTCCCTCTGGTTCCCCCCTGAATTCCCACCCACACCCACAGCATCTTTTCCACACAAAACCCTCATTCTCTTTTTTTCTTCCACAATAGAACTGAACACCCCCTCAAAACCAGAACCCACAAGATTAGGCAGTGTTTCCTCTTTGCTTAATGTAGGGTTTCCAAACATTGTGCAGAGATGGGGAGAATTGCACAGGGGACATGGGAGGGGGAGAAAGAAATCCTCCCCCTTTGATTGAGTTAATCCATTAAATGTTTATGCTAAACATTAATCCATAATCCATTAAATGTTTATGCTAAAATAAGGTGAACATTTACACCTTGTCATACTTGGAGATTTGTTAAAATGTAGATGAATAAAGAAGGGTATCTCTTGTTCATTATTTGGCCAAGTTAAAGGTTAATTTTCAACCCTTTCCTGGTAATAATTTTTGACAAATAAGGACAAGAGGGGACTGAGTAACTTCAAGAGATGCAGAAAGCACATGGGCAGAGAATGTGACCAGGCAAAGAATGGGAAAAGCTGTGACGGTTCAGTTGTTGCCTTGTGCAAGTAAAGTTATATTTATTTCCTAAGCCATGGCTTAAAATAGTCATTTAATTCCATTTTCCAGGGAAACATCATGGTTTGTTCCTTCCAGCTATCTCTTCATCCTATTCCCGCTGACCATGCCTGTCTTCTCCATAATCACACCTACCTGGTCTAGACTGGATTCTTCTTGGCACCAAATTTAAATCCTCGAAATTCTGTGGGTGAGCTGGTATATAATCATCTCATCTCTTATTTGCTCTGGGTCCAAAATAGAGATTTTTGAATCCTGACAGCTTTATCCAACCTCAGTGAGTGTCTAGTAAATTCTGTAACCTCAGCCTACCTCCTACCACTGCTCTTTCCAGGGGAGATGAGATCAGGGCAAGCCTTTGATATACAATGCAAAGATGCCTAAGAGATTCAAGTTAACTTTAGATCAGAGCAAGTCCAGAAAGCTGACCATTTCAAAAGATTAAATATCAAAGGAAAAACTAAGAAAGCATGAGAGAAATGAATACAATAGGAACAAATGGGAGCAGTTTAGTAGCTGGAGTAGAGAGGATAAGTAGCAAAGAATGACCAGTGAGAAATAGGTGTCAAAGCTGCCCCTCCCCGAATGGCGTCAATCCACAGGAAAGGCCAGGGAGCATCAGAGGTGTGAGGTAATACCAAGCAGGTCACCCAGAGACCCTGCACAGAAGGAGAGGGGAGTCTGGGTATTTTGAGGCATGGTGACTTCGCTATGACAACTGTACCTATTACTCTGATAGTCTTCAAAGTTAGAGAGGGGAAGCTAGCACCGTATTTTAATTAACTTCATGCCAATCTACTAACCGACCTTCCTCCCCAAATAACAAGGATTTGTAGCCTGGAAAATTCTGTGTTCTAGCCCCAAACTGCTTTAATGTCCTAAGCATCTGAAACTGAACTACTTTTTGGAAACATGATGTATTTACCTACCTTGGACCACAATAATCTAAGGACTGCAACAAACCCCACCCTAAGATAGAAGCAGACAGAAAAGAAAGTAAAGAAATCCTACAACACTGGAGACAGTTCAGAATTGGCCAACTATGCACACTTTTTGTTTCAAACCTTCTATTCAAGCTTGACAGTGTTTAGGGGAAACTAAAGTATTAATAACACTACCAGGGTCAAGTTTAAGATTAGTGTTTAACCCCAAACCCCATACCACATTTGACTTACTGCAAATGAGATACTCAGGGTTTCTCTTAAAATTCCTACTGAAGTGTCTTTCTTTTGTTTTTTGAAATCACTCCTGAATCTGCACCAAGTTATAAAGAACTTCCTAATAGAAAAGTGTCCGTGACAGACAGAATAAATGATCCCCTTTCCAAGTAAGTGAATTTTAAAACATAGATGATCGTCCTATATCCTTAGTTTGAGTTGCCAATGCAAATGAGTCAGAGGATTTGCCTCAGACAGTGAGTTAATTGTGTAACTCTACAGCAGAAAATGCCATTGGAGAGTGCTTGCTGACCTCACAGCTGAAAAAAAAAAAAAAAAAACATTTAAAAGATGTGGAAACCAGATGTTTCAGACACATTTCAGCCTCTGCTCTGAGAATTTATCCCGAGCAGCCCCTAACAGGACATTCCTTCTCTACGACTGAGATATGATCATCTTAATTTACTTATTTGTCTTTCTATGGGAAGAGGCTCACGGATGGGGATTCAAGAACGGAATTTTTCACAACTCCATATGGCTTGGTAAGAAACTTCACTCATGAGCTTCTTGCTGGGGAAGTCACTTCTTTGGATTCATAGAGAAGTGAATCAAAGCTATAAATCTTTCTCTTCCTTTTAAGGCTGATGTTTTCTAAGAAAATTGTTTGGGAAAAAGCTGATGGAGTGTATATACCATTTTTTTTTTTAAGTGTTCCTGCCTTCTAAAATTTTAGAATAGCTTTTTATAAAATGAACTGAGTAGAAAATAGAGGTTAATATTTATAGTCCATATGAATATGTCCTTTAAAATTTTCAAAGCAGGTGTGGTATAATGGGGATAGTGTCTTTAACAAAATGAAGTTACTAATACATTATTTTGTTCTTATTTTAATGCATTTGCAGTCAGATTTCATAACAGGTAACCATAAGAGAATTATAACAGGTAAACTGGAATATAAAATAATTTTACAATCACTGCTCTGTGTACTCTGATCTGTAGTATATCTCATGTTTTTCCAAACATCTTGCGACTAGTTTTACAAAGCCATCTTGTAATACAGAAAAAATGAAAAAAGCTTGTATATCTGAATGCATTTTTATCACTTGATTTCTTTTGTTTAAGCTAGCCATTTAAATACTTTCCTACCTCTTCTGTTAGACAAGGAAAGTTTCTTTTGTTGTTTTGTTTTGTTAAATGTAAGGAAATGACACAGGCCTAACTGAGAATATAAACAATAGGACAAAAAAAACTAAATAGATAAAACCCCAAATGCTCCATAGAGTACTCTAAACACTGTTTTAATTCTCATGACACAGATTATTATTGCTTTATTGTTCACTGTTGTATCTGATGATGAAATTTTTTTGAATTGCTCAAGAAGAAAATTGACAGATCCTTATATAAAACAGAGAAATAAAGAGAAAGCAAAATTAACCTAGATCTTGATTTTATGCTTGCTAAACAGCACAGAGTTGTAGAATATCTTCCCTTTCAGCGTATTTCTTTCTGGTAATAACTACAGCCATGCGGATTTCATTAAAAAACTTGATTTGCAATGCACAGCCTTACCGCCTCTTTTTTCAGCTTGAGCCAGTGAACTACTTTCATGCTGAACAGTGCAATCCATTTGGCCAAGATGGGGTCTGGAATTTACTAGAGGAATGAGCAAGTCTTTCTGTTTATTTTCATTACACACCATTGAACTTGGGAAACATACACCTATTTGTCAAAAATGAAAAAGAGGATCATAAAGCTAGTAAGAGTTGAACCCAAATGGATAAACTGAAATTCTGTCAAACTCTCTAATGATGAAGTAAAATGGAGTTTTGGTTTTGTTTTTTTTTAAGTGATGTTGTATATCATCAAAATAGAAACCTGGACAATAGAAGTTCTGTCCCAGAGGTAGAGGGAAGTAAACCCAAATATTTGTTAATAGTATGCTACATATCTGAGGCCGGGAGTGATTGCATATTGCTTCACAGTGGGACAGATTATTGACCAGTCAGCCTGGCATAAACTGTTTACAGTTGGTTAGATCAATGTAGTATTAGAAAACTGTTTAGATGGGGAAGAGAGTTGAATTAGAAGGCAGGAATCTGCTAGCAACTATCAAGAACAAGGCACTTAAAATTCTTGGTCTCAGTTCCATGCTGGTAAAATGAGAAGTCTGAAGTAAGGGACCCTAAGGTTTATTTTTAACTCTTGTATACTCTAATTTCTTAAATAGTAAATTTTAAGACACATAAGGACAAGTGACTTAAACTAGTTTAAATGGAAAATTTAAAAATGTACAAATAAGCAATTCCTTTTAACCATTGTTTTGAATCTGAAAAAGGAGAAGGGAAAAGTAACATTATCATGAGCTCCTTCTAGGATCCAGAAACAATGCGTATAGGTTTCATGGTTTGTATATTCCAAAAAATAACTGTCATTATTCCCATTTGATAGATGAAGAAACTGAGGTTCAGGCAGTAATTAATACAAGGTCACACAACTGGTCTATCACAGAACCAGAAGTAGAAATCAGAGCCAACCCGTTAGTGTTACCACTTAACTATTAATAAAAGGAAAAGGAAATTATTGGTTAAGCAGATTTTCAATTTTAATGAATGACAGCTAGAAAAATAATTACTTCTTCCGAAAGGTGAAACTCTTTAGATTAAGACTCATTATTCAAAGGACCATTTTAGTAGTATAAATTCTGAATTAAGAAATACTTTAAAATAAATCTGTGCTTAAAATATTCAAGTACACATGCCATGAGTTCTCAGCTTGTTCATAAGGAAAGATAATGGGAAGTCTGGGTCTCTTTCAGGAGCAATGTGGAATATTAATATCATTTAATCCATTAAAAATTATAGAATAGACATTGCTACTATGTAAGTTACTATCTTAGACAAGTTTCAAGAGGTACCAAAGTTTTCAGAAAAACTACTGGGAAGAAAAGTTAAAATTATTTTTTAATCTTTCTGTTTATTTTTTTCCCCTCCAAACCTCTGTTAAAAGAAACTAAGGCATACTTAAACTTTTGAGTTTTCTGAGCAAAAATCCATTTGAATTTGGCAGCATCCAATTTAACAGCAGGAGCTCCAAGGAGTGGTACAAAATGCAAAACTTTCATAGGCAGAAAGGAACAGGCATAAGGAAGTTTTATTAGCAAAAAAGTAGGCTTTTGATGACTAAGTTACTTTCCTTTAGGGGAGAGTAGAGGTCTATCAGGCAGATGATCTAACTAGTGATGATCAGGAGTCTTCTGACTGACTGGTTTAAGATTCCATTTCTGGGTAAGCTGAAACTATACTTAGGTCTTCATTTGGTGATGTGGGACTTAGCTTGCTGTCTTGTTTCTAATACATCAGATTTTTATTTGGGGAGTAAAATATAAAGGAAATTTTAGTTTGAGAAACACTGGACAGACAAAATAATCAAATTTTTTCAAATAAAGATCTTTTAGAGAACAAATATAGTTCTAACATTTTTAAAAAGTAACAATCATCTCCATCACATATATTACTAAGTACTACATGTCTCTCTTCTCTACTAAAATCCTCAGTATCCCTGTACTTCAAAATAGATGTACTTGTCTTGCCCGTTAGCACCCAAGTTGCTTAAGAACAGGGCTTGATTCCCCAGAACCTAGCAAAGTACCTCATAGTAAATTCTTAAAACAGCTACACTGGAAGCTGGTAAAAGTTGAGTTAATGAGGCTCATCTATGAAGGACACTTGGAAAGTATGTAACTCTCAAAAGGACAAATGACTTTGATGCTCCTTGTGTTTTCTGACCTCTAAGTATCAGACTGACTAACGTGCTGTGTATGCGTGATAGGCTTTTACCATATAAGGTATAAGAGCAGGATGTCATGAGTCTAGAAAAGCAGGGAAAATGCCAAACAGCATCTCCTATTGAATTGGCATTGTCAACTTCAGCTTTGGGTAGAGAGTAAAGAACAGTATTTCTAATACTGCTGGATTCATATCTTGCTGCAAGGCTAGAAATATAAATTCTTGTTGGAAATCGTCTTAATGGTGGCTGATTACACCACCATTGGGTCGGGGTACACAGACTTAACAATAATCGTGATAGTCTACACAGAACTATTAGAGCTATGCTATGATTATTGTCCTGGGAATCTTTTCACATTGTTTCTATGGCAAAAGACACTCCAAACTCAAAACAATCAATTTAAACAGTGATCTACTAGGAGACAGCTCATGTATGACTTAATACCATCTAAAATGTGCTGGGAACAAATGTGAACTGAAAAAAGACAAGCCAGGTAAAGAACTTAGGAACTGGTAGTTAGGTGTGCCCCACTTTTTCTCAGCTGTAGTTATATCTATTTTTCTTTTCTTTAATGCACTATTTGGTGCCTTTGGATTCTTTCAAACTGTTCGTCAGTTTTTGATTTGTTTACTAAATTCTCAATTATATTGCATTACTCATTTCCCTCAAATGGATATTTTGGCTTATTTTTCTCCTTCATTATGAGCCAATTTTCATTGGTTCTTTTGCCTTTGACTCTTCCTCTTTTCCTAGTGCTTACCTTTCCAAGTTTTTAAAACAAAGCCAAAGAACAAGTTAAAACTTAATCACCTTTGGATAGTGCAGAAATACAATGCTGTATTAAAACTTTCTTTTGGGCTCTCAGTTCAAAAACATAACTTAGTCTCAAATTTCTCTCTGTGTCCCCCCAAAATTCCCCTCATTCAAAATGTTTCCCAAAGCTTTCTAACAATGAAAACTCAGCCATTCAAGGCAGCCGACCCAGGGAACCCTTTGGCAGGAACAATAGCTGATGTAATCTTCCAGATGAGGCCACAAAATTTCCCTTGTTCGACAAGAATGGGTAACAGTGCATTTACGACATTTTGTGAATTCACAGAACAAGCAGCAGGCGTGTACCACAGGGAAGCGCGGTCCGGCAAATACAAGCTCACCTACGCAGAAGCGAAGGCGGTGTGTGAATATGAAGGTGGCCATCTTGCCACCTACAAGCAGTTAGAGGCAGCCAGAAAAATTGGTAACTTCTTTGAACATAATATTTCTTCTTTTCACCCTTGGGAAAAAAATTTTTCCACCTTTCCTGCAACCTCTTATTAAGACTTACTTCTCCACCTCTGCTAACAGTTCCTCTGGCTTCTCCCATTTTCTCTGCCTACAGCTAGATGGTGGACAGTTTCTAAAACAAGCAAGGAGTTGGGGTTGGGGAGTTGGGGTCACCTCCCATTCAGAACAAATAAATTAAAGTCAAAAGAAAATGAAGATATCATCTCGATATTTAATTTCCTCATTAATTCTAATGCCATTGCTATTCATTTTTAATATTATACCATTTTATCTTTTCTTGATCTCTGTGGGTTTCCTCAGCTGTTAAATGATGTTGCTATGCTGAATCTTACAAAGAAATTCACTTGGTAGAAGAAACAGTGAATTTAGTGATTTTTTTTTTTTTCAAGTTTTTCCTTTTCTTTTTTTACATTAAGTGGGAGAATGCATTTGTACTTTAGGATCAAAAGCCATGAGGAAAAGAGTTGTAAAGATGGAAAATACTGGGAAGTTGATGTCAGGACACCTGGTAAAAACCCAGTAATTAACAAATACTGTTTGCTTCTTTGTAATAAAAGCTGGGGGTTGGGAGACGGCGAGGAGGCTGCTATTGTCTCTCCTGGATTTTCAGGAGAATCCAAAAGGCCACCTCCATTCAGAATTATCTTCTCCATTAAAGAAATCCCTTTGTTTATAGGAACATACCTGGCAAAGCTCATGCAAATATTATATATTACCCAAGACAAAAATAAAGGTGTTTTCAAAAATGGCCCAGAGTCTTCCCCAGATGACCGTTCAGTCTATACCCACAAGGCTGTGTGTGACATAGTAACTGGAACGATGCATGCAAAAGCCAGAGCCATTACTAGCCACCAGAGACTTGTCAAATCGTTCTTGGATGGTATTGGCAAACATTAAAAGAGCCTCCAAAGCTGAGCAAGGAAAACAGGGCTGAGGCTTTGTTTGAAATGTTGACTGCTTTTATCTTTATTCAAATTTTTAAAAATATTAGCAATATCTTAATTGATCCTGAAAGGGACACTATCATTTGAAAAAAATGTTTTCAGTATTGGTGTTAATTTTAGTTATCTCATGGCACTAGTAGGGTCAGTTGTGAAAAGAAGCCAGCTCTGAAATTGGATGGTTTTCATATCCATGGTATTATCATTTCTTAGTCCATCTTTTTTTTTTTTTTTTTTGCCAAGATATCATTTTCTAGTAAAAGTCAGATGTTATAAGAACTTTTATTATGTGTTCAAACTTTATTTTTTAAGAAAACCGTTTTTCCCCTTATATGTAAACTGGATTTCGGCAGTTAAGACACTGTTCCTGTTGGGAGGGGCCATCTTGGTTGAGATGACCTTTGCTCAGCTGAGGGAACATACAAGTTAAGCCATTACCCTTCCATTCTCTTGCAGGATTTCATGTCTGTGCCGCTGGGTGGATGGCCAAGGGCAGAGTTGGATACCCTATTGTGAAGCCAGGGCCCAACTGTGGATTTGGAAAAACTGGTATTATCGATTACGGAATCCGTCTCAATAGAAGTGAAAGATGGGACGCATACTGCTACAACCCACATGGTTTGTGGAAAACAGTAATTTTATTCTATACAAAAACAGTGACATGTTATGAAAAAGAAATGTCTTCTTCTTCCAGAGACAAATCAATTTAATGATAATTAAAAAAAATTTTTAAATACACATTTGGCTGCATCAGGTCTTAGTTGCAGCATGTGGGCTCAGCTTCCCCATGGCATGTGGGATCTTGGTTCACCAGCCAGGGATCAAACCTGCAGGCTTTGTACTGCAAGCCATACGTTTACGTACTGGACCACCAGGGAAGTCCCCAGTAATGGTAATTATTAATAATAACTACCATTCATAGAATGGTTATGTTGTGCCAAACGCTGACTTATGTCCCTTCATCCACACTGTCACTTAATGTTCACAACACTGCAAGGAGTTACTGTTATACTCATTTTAGAATTCAGGAAACTGAAAGTTCAAGAACTTAAGTACTTTCCCCAGATCAGACAGCTGATAATTAGTAGGCAAGTGAGATCTCAAATTTAGTTTTCTGTGCCAGGGAACTTCCTGAGCACAAAGGAAAAAAAAAAAAGCAGATTATAAACTTATCACAGTGAATTAGTTAAAACTATGAAGTAGTATAATACTGCAAAATGTTAACTGTTCAAAGTTATCCTTTTAATAGAATGAGAAAAAGGAGACAGAATAAACAAATTGTTTTTCCTAATTTTTTTTGTGTATAAATTCTTAAATTTCCAAACTAAGCAACTCCCACTCTGTGTTTTTTTAAACTGGATATTCTAGTTATTATTATATAGTATATATTTTATTCATATTCTTTTTCCATGGTTGATTGTAGTCAGGAAAACTTTGAAGAGAAAATTAACTCATCATAATTACTATGAAGAGTAATTCTTGCTCCATGCTCTTAGAGAAAAAAGTAGACTGGGGATTTATTTCCCCCAGGATAAGATTACAAACTGTTAGAACATGTCACAAATTATTTCCTATATTTATGATCATAATTATCCTCAGGTGGTATCCCATTTGGATCTACTTTATGAGAAAGTCTGTAACACAGTAGGAGAGTTACAGTGAAGTTCTAGCATAGCTTTATATAATTTGTTATCGTTTAATAATATTAAATATTATTAATTAATAATATTGGAGAGCAGTTTCTCATGTTTGTAGCTAACCTATATCTCAAAATAATATGTATTCTGGTAGAAGAGAATTTTGTCTAGTGCTATCACCTACTCCCACTTGAGACAAAATATGAATAAATACTTACAGCGCATTCATATAGACTCTTTCAAACCACTTTGACATACATTAAGCCTATACTATACTACATTTATGGAGTAGGAAATGGCAACCCACTCCAATGTTCTTGCCTGGGAAATTCCATGGACAGAGGACCCTGGCTAGCTACAGTCCATGGGGTTGCAAAGAGTCGGATCCAACTGAGCACGCAAACACGCATACAACATTTAGTCCTATATTTAGTCATTGTTAATAATTTATATTCCTCCTTTTCCTCTCTCTCCCCTCCTCTCTTCCTTTTTTTTTTTTTTTGGTTGTGCTGCAGTGCTTGCAAGATCTCAGTTCCCCAACCAGGGATTGAATACAGGCCAAGGCAGTGAAAGCCCAGAATCCAAACCGCTAGGCCACCAGGGAATTCCCCCTTTTCCTTAAATATATTTATACAGGCACTTCTCTTTTTACTCTAACTTGGAGATACTGATTAATTAATAATCATTATTTTCCTGTTACTGTTATGATTTTTTTTCATTCCAATCGTTTTTTAGGGAACTGTGCTTCTCCATTGCTAGTTCAGGCGGCCCCCAGTCCCCTTCAGGTTAACCACATCCTAAATGATCAGCATGTCACTGAATCTAAAAGTAAGCTGAGAATTGAGTAAGAGCAAGTCTCCTAGGATTCTGTACATTTCATTGCTCTTTTATAAGAATGCCAACTTAACTTAAAAATTTTTGTAAGTTGTATTTATTTCTCATAGAGGCTGAGTACTTTTCACTCTAGGAAGATGTGTACAGAATCGTACAGGAAAATCATACAGAAAAATGTACGATTGGAATGAAAAAAATCATAACAGTATCAGGAAAATAAATTAATGATTATTAATTAATCAGTATCGCCAAGTTACAGCTGCTTGAAGCAAGGAAGAACAGGGTCATTCAGAAGTGTACAGAAGTAACCTTGCTCATTCAAGTTCTGACCATGTGGCATGATGCTGACTCCCTCCCGCATTAACACTTCTCAAGCAATTAGCAGTCAGTCCTCAAATTTATAAAGTCAGATTTAAGAAGTCTGCTTCATAAGTTTGTCATTTTCTAAATAAGCCAGAGATGAGGCAACAGTTATACATAACATGAAATATAGAGCTGATAGATATAGCTAAATATACAACCAAAGAAGTTCAATATTTGGATTTTTCCCTAATCTAGAGATAAATACATCAAAGATACAGGAGGCTGGGAATTTCCTAGCAATCCAGTGGTTAGGGCTTTGTACTTTCACTGCCAAGGGTGTGGGTTCAGTCCCTGGATGGGGAAGTAAGATAGTGCAAACCACAAGACACAGGGCTATATATATATATATATATATATATATATATATATATATATATATATACACATACATACACACACATATAAATATTATTTCTATATAGATATTATATATATGTAAATGTAGGATGCTATGGGACAGGGAAAATCACTCCCAAAGTGGGCACTTGTTAGTCGCTCAGTCATGTCTGACTCTTTGAGACCCCATGGACTGTGTAGCCCACCAGGCTCCTCTGTCCGTGGAATTCTCCAGGCAAGAATACTGGAGTAGGTGGCCATTCCCTTCTCCAGGGGAATCTTATACACTCAGGGATCCAACCCCAGTGTCCTGCATTACAGGCAGATTCTTTACCATCTGAGCCACCAGGGAAGCCCCTTACATGCACATAAACACTATATATTTTATAATATTTAATAACACAATATGCATAGCTTATACTTTGCATAATACCGTTTAGCTACCCTCTATATTTATCCTCAGAATAGTGCTGTGAGGGAGGTAACAGAAGAGGCATGACTACATTTATTTTATCAATGAAGACACTGAGGTACAGACTGATCACCGAGCTCAGACTAGGTTGCTGACCTTCCTTGTCACTCCCCAGCCTTTCTAAGAGCCTATTCTGCCCTGGGGACACAAGCTCCTTAACCTCTATGGTGTTAAGGATTCTAGCACAATTTTTTATCATAGTTATTTTAAAGAAGAATATTCTTGTAAAAAGCCTTTAATTGATACAATAAAAATATTTTTGAATACTACCAGAGTTACGACCTCCACACCACCACTCAGATTATTTTTTAATTTCCTGTTTCTATCGTTTTTTTAAGACACTAGACATTTAGTTGATATGGAATTAAAATGAACTAGGACCTTTCTATAGCTTTCTTTCTAGGTCATACTGCAAAATTACTGTTCTGGTAGAGATTGTTCGCTCTTATAAGAGGTTATGGGACATGACAGAAATCTATGAAATGGTAAATGACTTGAAAAAATCAACATAGATATCTCCACCGAATCCTCAAATAGTATTAGAATTAAGTTGCTCATTTAAACCAGTAAAAGGAGTGTAGAATGATTATAAATTCTTCCTTTTAACTGGATTAGAATGACCTTCAAGTTCCCTAGTGGTCTTTATAAGGATTTTCCAAACAGAATTTATTGGATGCATTATTCTAAGTGTTCAAGTCCCTGAAGACACAGTGGTTACACCAGAGGACAAAACTCCTGTCATAGTTGGTGATGTAGATACCTGTTGGTGAAGTAGGTATATGTTGGTAATACAGGTAGGTGTATGTATCAATATTTGTCAAAACATATTTAAGTATGCACTTAAGATGTGTGCTCTATGCTTAAAATGTGAACAGAGCAAGAAATGTAAACAGGAGCACAATTATTTCTTTTTGCTACTTTACTTTTTTAAAAAAATCACAAGTGGTCTATGTTTATTTTTGAGAATTTAGCAACTATTAACAAAAATACAGTTATTCTTCAGCTATAATTATGCACAATATACTATGGAGGCTATATATTTATTCATGTCTTTATTTTATTTCATAAAAAGTACTAAATAGATGGACATTAAGGAATGAATATCTTTTTAAAGTAGGAATCATCTTTTTAAAAGCTTTTTTTTTTTCTTTTCTCATTTCAGCAAAGGAGTGTGGTGGTGTGTTTACGGATCCAAAGAGAATTTTTAAATCTCCAGGCTTCCCAAATGAGTATGATGATAATCAAATCTGCTACTGGCACATTAGACTCAAGTATGGTCAGCGCATTCACCTGAGCTTTTTGGACTTTGACCTTGAAGATGACCCAGCTTGCTTGGCTGACTATGTTGAAGTATACGACAGTTACGATGATGTCCATGGCTTTGTGGGAAGGTATGTGTTGCTTCTCCATACAGGAAGCTAATGGACATCTGATATTTTGCAGGATGCTTCTTTAATTTCTCCCCAACTGTCCCTACAATATTGATTTTCCAGTTTATCTATTCCCCTGCAACATCCTTTCCTTTCCTAACCAAGATTTTTCTTTGCAGTGTTAGTCCTAACAAGCCATAGTTAGCTGCTACCTCTATTTATGATTAAAATAGTGATAGCTACTTTTTGATTTGTTAAATTGTAACAGTTAAATATTCTATTTATGTAGACCTCAAAATTTGACTAACAGGAGAAAGAAGATATATAGGATGGGAAATTTGTTGGGGTTTTTAAGTGTTCTGATTTCTGTCAACCTACTAAAAATAATTATAAACTCAGTAATTGTTGCCTTTCTTCTGCGTACAAAGCATTGTACTAAGAATTATGATATAAGGTAAATAAGTACACTAGAGCCCCTTCTCTCATACAGTTTAGCTAATTATATAATGGATATCTTCTTAAAAATAGCGTTCTTTGTCATGAAAAAACAAATGATCCTTTCCTCAGTATTTCTCTCCTGGTTTTTCAAGATGCTGGGACACAATATTTTTGGTGCGTGTTCTCACCCAATATCTTTGCTGCTGCTAAGTCACTTGTCCGACTCTGTGCGACCCCATAGACGGCAGCCCACCAGGCTCCGCCATCCCTGGGATTCTCCAGGCAAAAACACTGGAGTGGGTTGCCATTTCCTTCTCCAACGCATGAAAGTAAAAAATGAAAGTGAAGTCGCTCAGTCGTTTCCAACTCTTAGTGACCCCAGGGACTGCAGCCTACCAGGCTCCTCTGTCCATGGGGTTTTCCAGGCAAGAGTACTGGAGTGGGTTGCCATTGCCTTCTCCGACCTAATATCTTTAATATAGTTTAAATTTTACAATACAAATTTTGCAACACTGTATGAAATATTATAAATTAAAGAGAGCACAAGTAGGTGTTTTATATATTCAGGTCCTCACTTAATGTGTATTTTAAAATATCTATCATCAATGGATTATCAGTTATCAATTCTCTATTATTCATGATAGTAATTTAATGAAGAAAATAGCAGTGGGGATAATTTAAAATAGACAATATCTTTGATTTTGACTTTGAAACCTGTAACTTAAATAGAAAGAAAAACAAAGGTGTTTCTTGCATAAATGAACAGCAGTTTTTGGATGGATAGTGTTTTTTTGTTGTTGTTGTTTTGTTCTTTAGCTGAGACTACTACTATGGAAAAAAATATAAATAGTTTTTAAAAATAGTTTGAAGAAGACTAGAAGTAGGATCTGAGGAATTAAGAACAAAGTCTTTTTTGAAAGAATGGGCCTCCTACCTTGGCACTTAAAATAACATTTTTATTCTAAATCTAGTTTCAGAAATCAATTACAGTTCTAGATAAAATGACTTTTTAATCTATAGGCTTATTTTTTATTTATTGGATTATATTGTGTGATTTACCTTTATGATAGACTTTCTCCTTCTCTGGAATAAACTACTTTTTCTTTAGAAACTAACAAAACCCCTTACTTTTTATATAATTATGTGCAAGCGAATTCCTTTCAAGCCATGATTCAGATAAAAATCACATCATCTTATAAGGTCCAATGTAATTTTTTCCTTTTTAAATCAGTCATAGCCTCCCCCCCATTCTTCTTTAACTGTGAAGAAAATGTCATGAGATTAACCAGAAACACATTTTTAAAATTTCCCAAATAGATTCAAATTGTCTACTACACAAAAAGCTTTGTAGACACACAGAGTAGAAATGCCACAATTTCCTTCCTAAGAGTCTCAAAACTGCAAGAAGTCTATTTGAAACAATATTTTAGCCTCTCTTCTCTCTTACAAGGGCTTTCCAGGCGGCTCTTGTGGTAAAGAACCCACCTGCCAGTGCAGGAGATGTAAGAGACCTGGGTTCAATCCCAGGGTCGGGAAAATTCCTTGGAGGAATGCATGGCAACCCACTTCAGTATTCCTGCCTGGAAAATCCCACGGACAGAGCAACCTGGCAGGCTATGGGCCACACGGTCCATACACAGAGTCAGACACATTGAAGCAACTTAGCACTCACGCATGCTCTCTTATAAATTCTAGTAAAAATAAATAAACAATAAAATGTTGTAAATAATAGAAAAGTGAGCCATTACTTAGAGGAACTGGAATAGGCAATGGCATCCCACTCCAGTATTCTTGCCTGGAAAATTTCCATGAACAGAGGAGCCTGGCAGATTATAAGTCCATGGGGTTGCAAAAAGTCAGGCATGACTGAGCACACACACACCTCTTAGGGGAAATACAAAGTACATCAATTATCAGTTAGTCACTTGCAAGAGCTCTATTATAATCATTCATGTGACCTCTCCTTTTTAAAAATTCTCTTTCAGATACTGTGGAGATGAGCTTCCAGAAGACATCATTAGTACAGGTAATGGCTCTAAACCGAGCAACAAAACTATGATTTGCTTTCTCAGTGTCACTGAAAGTGAACTATCCAATAGTTATTACTACATAACTTTTTAAAGTTGAGAACTGAAGACAGACATGGCTTGCTAGCTTGTAAAAGGCAAAGAACTATTTATACTTTAAAAAGTGTGTAGTCTTTGGTTACTTGAAGGAAATGCAGTCTGAGATAGTCTTGAGTCTGCAAATCCATAAATACTGCTGTATCTTATAATTCCTATAAACGTGGTAACAAAAGGCCCAAACTTTTCATCGATACGATAAAGGACTGAAGTAATTTGTCAAGTTGTTAAAAATATCTTTCATCACTGAAAAAAATTTTAAGTTGTATTTATTGCATTTTCACATTAGTATAGCAATCCCAAGAAAGTCTTATGAAGATCACAGTTCTGTTAGGTGTTTTTAATAGATATTACATGATAAAGGGGCTCTAAGGTCAGGTAAATTGGGGAAACATTGGGTTAAACAACGTCAAACAGGTTTCTTTGTTACAAGACGTTAGAGAACTTTTACTATGCTAATTACGCATAGTTAATCTTAAAAGCCTACCTATAGTGAGCAGTGTTTTCCAAATCTTTTTCCTCTTGCTAATTATTTTATGAGACTGTTCCTTGAAATGTGCGCCAAGAGATGTTCCAGGAGCAGCATAGATTTATCACAATGAGCAATACCACTGCTATTGCCTCAAACTGCTACTTTCTGGCTAATAACTTTTACTCTCTTCGATGTCTTCATTTTTCTCTTTATTTTCATCACTCGCACCAGTAATTGGCATTCTGGCTTGCTCTATTTTTCCTCCGAGACATTAAAAAAAAAAAAAAATCACAATACTTCCGCAACTAAAAACACCAAAGCTACATTGAATTGCAAATTCCAAACAGTCCTTAAACTGAGATACTACAAGCTAAATTAGTCCCACACCCTAGCTTTGCAGTGCATGCAGTTTTCATTGATGAATCATTACAAGAGATGGAAATTCTTGTTCAATACTGGAATGATTAATGCTTAAAGTGTATTAATTCATTACTATGTCACAATCTCCTTAGGAAGAGTAATCTTTTAAACTTTTTATTTATCTCTTATTCTTTACTTGAGAACATATTTCATGTTAACAGAAAACTAAAAGAAGACACTTTATGAGATGTAGGAGGGTAGTTGGGAGTGGGGGTGAGAATTCTATTTTTAAAAAAGTGAAACAGAGGGAGAATCCAAAGGAAGCCTGAAACTTGACATTTTTCTTATTTTGTCTAAAACAGACTCCAAATGTAACACCAAATCAGTGTTTTTCTGGCACAAGTGCAAGAAAATAAAAAAAGAAAAACCCACACAATTTATTATTCAAAGAGAAACAAATCAACGGAAAGAACATAGTTAAATAAAATGCCAAAGATTTCGCAAAACAGCAGGAAGAATACACACTGATACAGAGTAATAGAAAAAGAATATATAAAATAAGTTTAAAGTACTATCCTCTCAGTCGAGATAATGCTGTTAACATTTTGATCTAGTTTTCTTCTTAAATATGTGCTTACTTAACCTAGGATATTTATATTAAAAAACAAAAACAGAAAATAAACTAAAAACTACCCATAGTTGTACCACTTTAATAAAAGGTATATGAGGAAAGAAAGTGTCCACTCTTCTCCTCTCCCTACCCAAGAAAGGCACTGGACAACTACGTGGTGTCCATCTTTCCAGACGTCTTCCTATAACAAACAAACATTATATACATGGAGACTATGGAGTCACTTCAAAGTCACAGTAGAATTGGGAAGCCCTGTATATGTAGATCATTCTAATTCTTCTTAATGACTCTTAATAGGTGCCTAAATTTGTCATACACCAATATTTAACACCCTGAAGGCAGCCGTTTCTGATTTTTTTGTCTTTTGCTATTCAACATTTCACTCAGTTCAGTTCAATTCAGTCGCTCAGTCATTTCTGACTCTTTGCGACCCCATAAATTGCAGCACGCCAGGCCTCCCTGTCCATCACCAACTCCCAGAGTTTATCCAAACTCATGTCCATCGAATCGGTGATGCCATCCAGCCATCTTACCCTCTGTCGACCCTTCTCCTCCTTCCCCCAATCCCTCCCAGCATCAGGGTCTTTTCCAATGAGTCAACTCTTCAAATGAGGTGGCCAAAGTATTGGAGTTTCAGCTTCAGCATCAGTCCTTCCAATGAACACCCAGGACTGATCTCCTTTAGGATGCACTGGTTGGATCTTCTTGCAGTCCAAGGGACTCTCAAGAGTCTTCTCCAACACCATAGTTCAAAAGCATCAGTTCTTTGGTGCTCAGCTTTCTTCACAATCCAACTGTCACATCCATACATTACCATTGGAAAAACAATAGCCTTGACTAGACGGACCTTTGTTGGCAAAGTGATGTATCTGCTTTTTAATATGCTGTCTAGGTTGGTTATAACTTTCCTTCCAAGGAGTAAGCGTCTTTTAATTTCATGGCTGCAGTCATCATCTGTAGTGATTTTGGAGCCCCCCAAAAATATCTATTTATTTGTCTGTACTGGGTCTTAGTTGTGGCATGTAGGATCTAGTTCCCTGACAAGGGATTGAACCCTGGCTCCCAGCATTGGGAGTGCAGAGTCTTAGGCACTGAACCACCAGGGAAGTCCCCTAGATATTTTCATACTTCTACTTGTTAGTGCTATTTTTTTTTAAGAGTTAATTCCTAACAGTGAAATTCTGGGATCACTTAGGGATGTGTGTGTGTGTATGTTCAGTTGAGTCTTAGTGACCCCCGGACTGTAGCCCGCCAGGCTCCTCTGTTCTTAGAATCTTCCAGGCAAGAATACTGGAGTGGGTTGCCGTTTCCTTCTTCAGGGAATCTTCCTGACCCAGGGATCAAACCCACAACTCTTGTGTCTCCTGCATCGGCAGGCGGATTCTTTACTACTGTGCCACATGGGAAGCCATAGATGTGGATAGATGCCAGCAAATTAGCACTAGGCCCTACTGTGTCAACTTTTATTTCAACCAGTTGAGTAGTCTACAGGAAAAAATTTCTTTTCTCATTTAAGCAGCTCTCCCAAGTTTGAAAAGAGTTTGGTAGACCAGAGCATGAACTCTAGGTTCAAACCTGGTTCTGCCATTTAAAACCCTGTGGCTTTGGCCAAGCTACTCAGGCTCTCTGTGCCTCAATTTCATCTATAAAATGATTATTTTAATAGTATGCACCTCATCATGTTGCTGTGGAAAATAAGATGAAAGACACTTAAAGCTGTGCTTGACAGAAGCAAACGTTAGCATTCAGTGTCTATGGGGGTTTTGCAAAGATATCTGGATTTGTGATTTGGATTAAGAAGGCTTTTCCCACATGAAAAAGAAAAATATTCCTACATATTTCATGTAATGAATTTTTTCTTTTTTATTTTTGGTACGTGTTGGTCTTTAATGCAGGTAAAATGTAGTTAAGTGCTTTGTTTAAAAGAGAGATCTAGCTTTGTGGCTTTTTTCCTTTTTTTTTCTTAAATGTTGACATCATTTAGTAAATAACCCGTCTGTATCTCTCTGGTTTGAACTGCTTGCTGTTCTCCTGTAATTATGGATGTTCCTTCTACAAAGAAAACCTTTTAAAACAGAATAAACAAAATTTCCTGTAGGACAGATTAGAGAGCCACAGGGAAAATCTGGAAGTCCTTGCTCCACCTGGCAATGATACTGCAGACTCAACAACTTGAAAATATACCTCTGAATTCTAGGAGTCTTGTTCATGAATTTTTACATTCCCCCTATGAGAATGATGAGTCTTTGGACTGTCAGCCAAATTGAAGAAAAGTAACATCTTGGTTCTTCTGCATCTTCCTCCTCCCCAGGAAATGTCATGACACTGAAGTTCCTGAGTGATGCTTCGGTGACTGCAGGAGGCTTCCAAATCAGATACGTCGCAGTGGACCCTCCATCCAAATCCAGTCAAGGAAAGAATGCAAGTTCTACAAGTACGACTTCTACTGGAAACAAAAACTTTTTAGCTGGAAGATTTAGCCATTTATAAAAGCAAAAAAAAAAAAAAAAAGACTTTCCGTATTTATGTTTCTATCTTTTGGAACACTTTTGATCTCACTTTTATATTATTATTATTAATGTTTATTTATTATTTTTATAAATGTGAAAACGATAACTGATAATTTGAGGAAAACTGGAAAATACGAAAAACTTTGAATGAGAAAATAAAATCTCCCATAATCTCCTTGCATAAAAATAGCAGGCATTAAATTTATACATACTTTTAAGTCATTTTTCAATTCATGGTATATGTATATATGCATCTGTATGTATTAGTACTTCAAATTATTGAATCCTACTCTAGGTACAGTTTGAAATCTTAAATTTTTTTAACCTTGAGCTTTATGGTATGCACATTTTCCCCTATCACTGAGTATTCTGCAAAAACATGATTTTGAATAACTGTAAAATGTCCATGGTATGATTGTCCCATACTTTCTGTAAACCTGTCTCTATTGTGGGAATTATTGGTTGTTTTTATAAATATTGTTTCAATAAACATCCTTGAACAAATATGTATTTGGACATCCCTCTAATTATTCAAGATAGGGTCCTAGAGGTGGAATTACTGAGTCAGAGATTAATTAAAATGAAAAATTTTTTTGAGGTAGATCAGCTGGACTTTATGACACTGAATGGGATGGTTGGTAGGCTGGATGGCAGGTGGGCCATATTCACTCAGTAGACGAAGGTATCTTCTAGGGAAACTAGAAAGTGAATGGACTAGGAAAATAGCAGGTTTTAAGGACACATTAAGGGCACATTTCATCTCACATGCTAGCAAAGTAATGCTCAAAATCCTCCAAGCCAGGCTTCAACAGTATGTGAACCGTGAACTTCCAGATGTTAAAGCTGGATTTAGAAAAAGCAAAGGAACCAGAGCCAACATCCATTGGATCATCAAAAAGGCATGAGAGTTCCAGAAAAACATCCACTTCTGCTTTATTGACTATGCCAAAGCCTTCAACTGTGTGGATCACAACAAACTGGAAAATTCTTCAAGAGATGGGAATACCAGACCACCTTACCTGCCTCCTGAGAAATCTGTATGCAGGTCAAGAAGCAATACTTAGAACTGGACATGGAACAACAGACTGGTTCCAAATCGGGAAGGAGTATGTCAAAGCTGTCTGTATATTGTCACTCTGCTTATTTAACTTATATGCAGAGTACATCATGAAAAACGATGGTCTGGATGAAGCACAAGCTGGAATCAAGATTGCTGGGAGAAATATCAATAATCTCAGATATGCAGATGACACCTCCCTTATGGCAGAAAGTGAAGAAGAAATAAAGAGCCTCTTGATGAAAGTGAAAGAGGAGAGTGAAAAAGTTGGCTTAAAACTCAACATTCAGAAAACTAAGATCATGGCACCCTGTCCCAAAACTTCATGGCAAATAGATGGGGCAACAATGGAAACAGTGACAGACTTTATTTTGGGGGTCTCCAAAATCACTGCAGATGGTGACTACAGCCGTGAAATTAAAAGATACTTGTTCCTTGGAAGAAAAGCTATGACCAACTTAGACAGCACATTACTTTGCCAACAAAGGTCTGTCTAGTCAAAGTTATGGTTTTTCCAGTAGTCATGTATGGATGTGAGAGTTGGACTATAAAGAAAGCTGAGAGCTGAAGAATTGATGCTTTTGAACTGTGGTGTTGGAGAAGACTCTTGAGAGTCCCTTGGACTGCAAGAAGATCCAACCAGTCCATCCTAAAGGAGATCAGTCCTGGGTGTTCACTGAAAGGACTGATACTGAAGTTGAAACTCCAATACTTTGGCCACCTCATGCAAAGAGTTGACTCATTGGAAAAGACCCTGACGCTGGGAAAGATGGAAGGTGGGAGGAGAAGCAGACAACAGAGGATGAGATGGTTCGATGGCATCACCGACTCAATGGACATGAGTTTGAGTAGGCTCTGGGAGTTGGTGATGGACAGAGAAGCCTGGCGTGCTGCAATTCCATGGGGTCACAAAAAGTCGGACATGACTGAGTGACTGAACTGAACTGAAGGGCACATACAAACTTTGTGATATGGACCTTTCTTTTTTTAATTAAAAAAATTGTTTTTAAATTTTTTGGTCACCCCACATGGCATAAGATTTTTTAGTTCCCATACCAGCAATAGAAACTGCCCCCTGCAGTGGAAGTCTTAAACACTGACCACCAGGGAATTCCCTGTGGTATGGACCTTAATTGGAGATGGGTCAGCAAGGCTATTTTTCTCTGACCATGTTCAGCTATATAAGGACAAGGACAGATTAGTAAGAGAGTAAGAATCACCACAGTTGGGCTTTTGCCAAGTGAGTGTGATAAGACAGGGGTAAGGGAATAGAGGATGTCGGTCAGGAGGCATTGCAATGATAACTCAGGAAATTTAGATTCATAAAGTGTGAAGAGAAGACAGTTAGGAAATAAGGAATAGTAGAAAAGCAGTAGACTCAATGAAGTAAAGGTCTCAAAGGGGCTTAAAGGGCTGTTGAATCAGTATGAAAGGGGACACATTGGAGAGATACTAGGCTGTGGTCTGAGAATGAGATATTAAATTTATGGTAGGCAGAGCAACGCTCCCCCTAAGATGCCTGTAACTTAATCCCCCAAACCTATGAATATGTTCCCTTACTTGGCAAGAGGGACTTTGCACAAGTGATTAAGTCAAGGATCTTAAAATGGGATACTATGCTGGGTTGTCCGAGTGGGCCCAATGTGATCACAAGTGTCCTTAAAAGTAGATGAAGGAGGCTTAAGAAAAGACAGTCAGAGAAAATATGTGACAAGAGAAGCAAGGCCAGAAAGATGCAACATTGATGGACTTGAAGATGGAGGAAAGGGGCCATGAGCCAAGGAATGTCGGTGACTTTTGGAAGCTGGAAAAGGTAAAGGAAGAAATTCTCCCCTAGAGCTTCTGGACAGAATGCATCTCTGCTGACTCACTGACTGATTTAGCCCAATGAGTCCCCACTGGATTTCTGAACTACGGAACTATAAGATAATACATTCATGTTGTTTGAAGCCACTGGGTATGTTATAATTTGAGGGGAGCAGTGATAGAAAGCTAATACACCTTTTAATCAATTTCATGCAGGCTTAGACACAGGAATAAAAGTCTAATTCTACATAACAAAGCATACACAAGAAGTTGTAAACAGAAGAGTGTTGTTTCTCTAAACTCAGTGAAATTAATTTAGGTAAATATTATTTAAGGCTAGTGTATCATTTCTCTGTTTGTATGTTCTCCTGCCTACATCTAATACTTTTCCACTTCCTTACTCATGATTTTTTTTTTTCAACCTTTAAAAAAATTTTTTTACCTCACATCCATAGGCTTTTTGGTCTTTTTTCCCATAGTTTTCAGAAATTTAAGGATAATTGACTAACAATATTATATTATTTCAGGTGTACAGCATAGTGATTTGATATTTTTATACATTACAAAATGATCACCATTTTAAGTCTAATTATCATCTGTCACCATACAAGGCTGTTGTTCAGTTGCTCAGTCGTATCCGACTCTTTGCGACCCCGTGGACTGCAGCACGCCAGGCTTCCCTGTCCTTCACCATCTCCCAGGGCCTGCTCAAACTCATGTCCATTGAACCGAAGATGCCATCCAACCATCTCATCCTCTGTCATCCCCTTCTCCTCCTGCCCTCAATCTTTCCAAGCATCAGGGTCTTTTCTAATGAGGCAGCTCTTTGCATCAGATGGCCAAAGTACTGGAGTTTCAGCGTCAGCATCAGTCCTTCCAATGAATATTCAGTGTTGATTTCCTTTAGGACGGACTGGTTGGATCTCCTTGCAGTCCAAGGGACTCTCAAGAGTCTTCTCCAACACCACAGTTCAAAAGCATCAATTCTTCAGCGCTCAGCTTTCTTTACAGCCCAACTCTCACATCCATACATGACTTCTGGAAAAACCATAGCCTTGACCAGACGGACTTTTGTTGGCAAAGTAATGTCTCTGCTTTTAAATATGCTCTGTCTAGGTTGGTCATAACTTTACTTCCAAGGAGTAAGCGTCTTTTAATTTCATGGCTAGATTCCCCTATATCCAAGTGGTATAGTGAGAATATTATACACGATCAGAGATGGGTTATAATGACTTCTACAGATTTGGCTGAATCATTTACAAACCATTCTACTGAGATTTAGGATATATTTTGATCATATTCTAAGATCTATAGAAATATTTGGAAAGGAAGAGTTATATACAGGTAACTTTAAGCAAAAATTTTAGTACAAAAATGAGTAAAAGTGACATAGAACATTTTTTAAAACATGATTTTCTTAATTCAATTTAGCATCTTTTGTATTTCTAATCTAATATTTTTTACATTCTAGAAATTTCACTTTATTTGAATGTTTTCAAATTAATACCTGCTCAGATGTATTTGTAGATTGTTTGTCTATTTTTTTTCTTTGTCATGTTTATGTGTGGGTTTGGGAGGTTCTTTTTTAAGCTTTACTTACTTTCAATTGAATGTGATCTTGATATCAATATCATTCTCTGAAAATAAAACAAATTTACTAATATTTATATGTACTCATATAAATTCATATGTATTCAGTATTTTATTTAACATAGCATTCAAATTCATATTTTTTGAAGGAAATTTTTTGCAAGGGAAGTTTTTTAGGAATATGTTTGTTTTTTTTTTTTCCTCTGCCTGCTTTTTATTTTTATTTTTTTTTAAACTGTTTACAATATGTTTATTTATTTTTTTTTTCCATTGTTGAAAATAGTTCATTTTTTTTTTTTTTTTTACATGTATTCCCCATCCCGGTCCCCCCCTCCCACCTCCCTCTCCACCCAATCCCTCTGGGTCTTCCCAGTGCACCAGGCCCGAGCACTTGTCTCATGCACCCAACCTGGGCTGGTGAACTGTTTCACCCTAGATAATATACGTGTTTCAATGCTGTTCTCTTGAAACATCCCACCCTCGCCTTCTCCTAGAGTCCACAAGTCTGTTCTATACATAGGAGTCTC